AGTACAGACTTCAGGTGAAATCTGTTCTGGTTAGTCTGGGGCTATTTTCAGGGATGGTGTCAAAGGGATCTATCTCATCAATGTCAGTATTTAAAGGAAGTGGTCACCAGAGTCATGCTGCCCACATCAATGGTGGTATGAAATCATGTCAGAGGGAGACTGATAAAAGAGTATCTATTTTAATGGTTATGGTTCACATTATTGCATAGTATTTTTAAAAATCTAGTACATCAAAGCTGTGATTTCACATGTATTACTTCTAAGGTAAAGGCAGGCTTACAAATTGAGTTAAGTGTTGGCTTAATTACAGATATTAAGTAAATAATCATACAGGTAGTACTTGGAAATGGTATAAAATCATGAAGGTGATATACCAATGACTGAAACCTCAAATACAATGCTGAAGATAATTTTCTTCTTTTGACAGCTTCTTTGTTGAGATTTTTGCTATTTGTTTCTATTTACAAAATACCTATAGGCTTAAGGCAGAACACATGAAAACACCAAAAAAGTACAAGTGAAAAACACAAAAATCAATCATAATGCTACCCTTAAAGATAATCGTGGTTTAGATTTTATTGTTTGCCTAGCCAGTCCTTATTCCATAAAAATGGGATTATGTCTTCACACTGGTCCAAAGCCTGACTTTCCACTTAGAAATATCTACCAAACATTTCCCCACTTGGTAAGTGTTCTTTTTCAGCAACTATTTTGCTAGCTGAAGAGTACTGTCTCATACGGTTAAAATCTAGTTAATTAATCCCCTCCTACTGGGAATTAAGGTTGTTTCTATTTTTTTCACTGTCATATAAAATGCTGCAGTGAACATCTTTGGACTTAAAACTCTTGATAAAATCTCTGAGTATCTACTTAAAACAAATTACTAGAAGCAGAGCTGCCAGGTTAAAAGGTTTGCCAAATATAAAGGTTGTTTGGCTGCAAATTAACAGATTATGCTACAGAAAGTTTACCACAATAAATCATTCTACCAGTAAGTAATGAGAATACCCATTTCTGTAACATTTGTAATGTAGCATTGTTACCAATGGTATATTTCTTTTAAAATACTTCTGATTGTCAATACAAGTATATAACTCAGATGACTAAAAGTACGGAACTTAGAAATTCTACAATCATATATTCAGAATTATTTTGTTTTTTTTTTTCTTTGTGAATTACCTGTATATGCTCTTTGCCCTGATTTCTACTGAGGTGAACCAATGAAGCAGTAATCAGACTAGGTGTCAGTATAAAATAAAATAATAAATGACTTAAGTATTACAGTCCCAAGATGTACTTCCTTTTACATTTCTTATAACTCTCTTTCAGCTAAGGGGACAATCATTATTTTGAGGAGAGAAGACATTATTCTTCTATATCACTGTATTTTTTAATATGACATAGAAAAATCTTGAAAATAAGTAGAATAAATTAATTTTTTAGGAGAAACAAGTAAAACAAGGTCCTGCCACTTTACCGTAGTCGACAAGTTCAAAGCAACCAAGAGGTAAGACATGGCATAGCATCATTCCAATAATGCTGATGTTTAAGCAAGAGCAGAAAATCTTCATGATAAGCTCACCACTGAAATTAGAAAAATTAATCCCTAGAAACATTTTATGCCTAGCAAGTTTAGGAACACTTGACTAACTCTAATTCTGTATATTACTTCCCACTTAAGTGGGTGATTGTCCATCTTTTTGAAGCTATCACAACTCATCTTCTTGTGGTAGAGAAGAGGGTGGTGATGGATGGTTTTGCTACATGCTTACCCCAATCTACAAGTGCTACATGGGATGCAGTACTAATATGTTAATTTAAAATAACAAATAAATTTAATCTCAAATTGAGGCTTGAGAATTTCGAATACTTTTTAACCCATCACAGAAACTCTCTATCTGTGGGTAGGAAACCAGGGTTCTGAACTGAAGTGGGCTGAGAGGAAAGCAGGGTGTCAGGAATACCTTTGAATATAATATATATATTCCCTAGAAACATTTTATGCCTAGCAAGTTTAGGAACACTTGACTAACTCTAATTCTGTATATTACTTCCCACTTAAGTGGGTGATTGTCCATCTTTTTGAAGCTATCACAACTCATCTTCTTGTGGTAGAGAAGAGGGTGGTGATGGATGGTTTTGCTACATGCTTACCCCAATCTACAAGTGCTACATGGGATGCAGTACTAATATGTTAATTTAAAATAACAAATAAATTTAATCTCAAATTGAAGCTTGAGAATTTTGAATACTTTTTAACCCATCACAGAAACTCTCTATCTGTGGGTAGGAAACCAGGGTTCTGAACTGAAGTGGGCTGAGAGGAAAGCAGGGTGTCAGGAATACCTTTGAATATAATATATATATTATATTATGAGATGTCAAACAGATTCCTATTTATTAAAACATCCAGAAATTTTAGGGTCAGCTATAATGGTTGATAAGAGCCTACCAACTAGTTAGAACAATCTGCCATCACTCATTTATTAATGCAATAGGCATTTATGGAACACTTGTTTTGTGTCAAAGTATTGGAAATACTTTTACAAAGTATTTGACAAAGTATTTTCAATACTTTTTGGAAATATTAGCAAATAAGGCAGAGATTAACTACCGTCCTGATAAGGCCAATATTCTGCTGAAGGATGGGCAGAGAGGGTAAGACAGATAGTAAACATAAAAACAGGTGAATAGGGAAATGGAAGACAGTGGTAAAGGCTTTGATAAAAATCAAACAGGGGAATGGGAAAGAAAGTGACTTGGCAGGGTGTGAAGCAAGGGAGAACTTTAGACGAAGTGGTCCAGGAGAGCCTCATGGAGAAGCTGACACTTCAGGTGTGCCAGTCATGCAAAGGTCTTGGCAAAGAGTATTCTAAATTGAGGGAAGAGCAAATGCAAAGGCCCACAGCCAAGGTGATATGTTTGGGAAACAGAGAATGCCAGTGAGAAAGCACATAGGGAAAGTGGTGTGATCCAGGCTGATTCCTGTTCTGCCTCAAGCCTTAGCTATGAGTAGGGATGCCATTCTAGGGGTGAGGGGATGGCCATGGAAGGTTTTAGGCGCAGAATTGGCATGACCCAGTTTACAATTTTAAAAGATCACTTCGATTGGTGTGTGGTGGGTACATTTTCATAGGCAAGAAGGGAGGCGGCATTACCAGTTGGGTAAACACTGATCATCGAAGTAAATGATGTGTGCCTTGAATTAACAGATAGTCATGGAGGCAGGAAGAAGAAAATCTCAATATCCTGTAGTTCTTATATTAAACATTTAATTATATACAATGGAATATTACTCAGCCATTAAAAAACAATGAAATGATGCCATTTGTAGCAAAATGAATGGACCTAAAGATGATCATACTAAGTCTACTATACATAAATTAGATAATTAATAAAGAGGTACTGTATAGCATTGGGAACTCAATACTCTGTAATGACCTATATGGGCAAGGAATCTAAAAAAGAGTGAATATACATATATGTGTAACTGACTCGCTTTCCTATATAGCATAAACTAATACAACACTGTAAATCAACTATACTCCAATAAAATTTTTTAAAAATTAAAAAATATATATATTTATGGCAGTGTTCTGATGGTGTCTGTTGACTTTTTGCTTATTCCAATAGACTATAATAAACTTTAATTGCTACATTTAGAAAGTGTCCCAAGTTACTCTGGGCTTTGCACACATGCATTCTTACAACTGCATCCCAAGCTTATGTGTGGGGAAGTTAACTCCCAAGGCCTCAAAGTTATTTTAAGTGAGGAGTTATATTAAGATTTACCAAAGTTTACTGGATTCTGAGCAAGGAACAACAGTTAGCCAATGAACTACAGTGTCCTCATTTAACCAACTTTAGGGGTAGAGTTGTACAGGAAAACCAGGGCACAGCTGAAATTCTATAATGGTTCTTAAAAGGCAAAGGGGAGCAAGATTACTAGGAAGGGAAGCTATTGTTTAAAAGAGCATTTTTCTGGGCCCTACCTTGAGAATGCAGAACCAGAATGTAGGGCTGGGGGCTGGAAATGTGCCTTTTAAAAATGCTCCCAAGAGACACTCAATAAAATTTGTAAAGTCTGCTGAGTAGGCACACAATAAATATTTGTTGAATAAAGGAATATAATGGGGAAAGATTTGCAGTTAATGAAGATCTAGAGTACTTCACTCCCCCAAATTTCCATCCAGAGAAAATATAAGCATGCATTTTTTGGGTGGGCCCAAGCTGAGCCTGGAGGAGGGCACGGCAACCCACTCCAGTATGCCTGTCTGGAAAATCCCATGGACAGAGGAGCCTGGCAGGCTACAGTCCACAGGGCTGCACAGAGTTGGACATGACTGAAGCGAATAAGCAGGCACTCAAGCAGAGCCTCAGGTAGCCACCTCAGATCCACTTGGAACTTTATGGTGTGACTAATATATGGGTACAAGGCAGGTTTTATGGAAGTTTTGTTTTAAATAATTTCTCTTGACCAATTGTGTCACCAAATGAGGAAGTACAAGCCCTTCAGCTGGTAAATACCATCTATTTTAAAGGCACGTAATCTTTTTTAAAAAATCATTTTGATCTTACGACACTTTCCACAAAGGGGCCAACTGACACGATACACACAACATCTAGGGTCCAGGAGATTTTTAGGAGCTCACAAAATGTTTTCATTTCTTTTAAAAATCAGACGAAAAACCTGAAAATATTCTAGACTGGACCATATTCAACTTTTACCAATGCAGTTACAAAATGTAATTTAAAAATACTTAAAAAATCAAGATACGCACATGAAGGCAACAATGACTAGGGAACATAGAAGTCGTCATAGGGCCCTGCTTTTTTTTTTTTTTTTCCCTGAGCTGCATAGCTCTGGGGATATTAGTTCCCTATCAGAGAAGCAACCCGAGACCCCTGCAGTGGGAATGCAGAGCATTCACCTCAGGCCACCAGAGAAGTCCCTGGCCCTGCTCTACTCACAGCCCTGGGCCCAGGTGACAGCTTCTTACCTGGCAAGCATTGTACAGCAGCTGATGCTCGAACTTCTTGATCCCAAGAATGTTCTGGAACATCTCGTAGAGTTGCTCTTTGCTCAGAATCAGCTCGGAAGCGGCGCTGGCCGTCATCCGGGCCTGCTGCTTCCTGGGGTCCTCCTCCCCGCGGTAAATGGCATCAAACTTGGCCATCCAGGAGCTCAGCACGGTCTCCTTGCTGAGGCCGTCGATCTCCGGCAGGCTGCGCACGCGCTTCTCGATGTGCTTCTTGAAGACTTCTCGCGAGTCGTTGGCGGAGCAGCCGCCGCTCTGCACCATGCGTGCCACGCGGTCGCTCTTCAGGAACACCTGTGTGGGAGGGGGCGGGGCAGACGTCAGAAAGCTGCCCTGGAGGAAGTGTTTCCCGGGGTGGGGGCGGGGCTGACCCCTTCGATGGCGTCCCAGGAGGCAGCGGGGTGGGTCACAGCCTGACTGCTACCTCCTAGCTGGGGGAACTCCGGGGAGTCTCTTAGGTGTTCTGCTTTTGTGTCCAAATCTGGAAAATGGGAATGACAGTGGTATTTCCGAGATTGTCGCAAGGATAAAATGAGACAGTCATATCCTGAGAGGCAGCTTAATATAGAGACTCAGTTGCTCAGACTGCTTGGGTCCTCTCTCTGCCACTTACTGGCCGTGTTTCTTCCAGCAAATTAGCCTCTTTGTACTTCAGTTTTCTCATCTATAAAATTGGGAAAATAGTAGTTTCTACAACACAGGTGCTTCTAAATGAATAAATGAGTCAATTATGATAAACACTTGAAAGAGTGGCTCATATTAATATCATATGGGTTGTTGTGGTGGTGGTTATTATTTTTATATGTAAAATAGTTGGTATGATGTCTGGTTATAGCACTTCACACAGTACATAGTCCACTATTTACATCTCATTTTATCCTCTCAGTGACACTCATCACAATTCATATTGAAGAAGGATTATGTAAATATGTATTTTATGCCTGTCTCCCCTCCCCAAATGTAAACTCCACGTGGGCCGGAAATGTGCCCTTCTTCTTCCCCCAGATATCACCCACCCATCTTTAAAGTAGAGCCTCCTGCTTTGAGAGTGAATAATGAGGAAGGCAGGCATTACACTCAATCCATTTTGTAAATGGAAAAACCAAGACTCCAGAGAGGAGTCTTTTTTAAACTCATATTAACTCAAAATGGACAACTCTATAAACACATGGTCTCTTGACTTCACCCTGGTTCGTCCCTTTCCTATGAGTCTCACCTACCTGGTGGGGCAGCCCTTGCTTATTTTGCTAGTGCTGCCTTGATCCTGGGATAGAGCAGCCATTAATGACAGTTTGCTTTCACTCCATTTGGGAGCTTATATAAGCTACACAGTTCTGGGGTGTCATACAAGGCAGTAAAGCTGCTGCTTCCTATTCACCAAGAAGAAACACCTGACGTTTTTGAGCCGTGTCCTGTCCTGGTCACAGTTCAGAAGCTGCATAAATAGCCTTCCAGAAGCAGAACAAATATTCACTTCCCTGTCAGACTTCAGAGAATGCTTGTGGTAGGCGATTGCTTGGGGGGCATCTCATTGCCTCCCACTTCATCACAAAGCCTTCCCTGGGGAGGAGAGATGTTAGAAAGTTGGACTCCATTTATTGTCAATGAATGAACTAATTCAGAGAGAAAAAGGACCAAGGATTTGTTTCCAGGCTAGAGGCCACAGCCTGCTCCACTGTGCTTGAGAATGGTCCTCAGTTGAGACCTCAGAGTTCATTTAAAAATCAAGTATTAAAAAAAAAAAAAAAGAAAGATTTCAACTGAATCTTGAGGCTTTAAGAGCTTTAATGAGCTAGCAATTCACCTGAAACTCTATAATGCTTAATGCAGGTAGTTTCTCCATGTAACAAACACACTGTGTTTCAGTTATAGGTCTAGATCTCAAAGAACATCAAAGTTTTGAAGTAAAAGAGGAAGTTTCTGGAAAGACAGTATAACACTGTGACATGACCTGTAAACCATATTCTCAGGCCAGCTCTGGCATTAACTTTCTGTGTAACCTTGGGTAAGTTACCTCATTACTCTGATGCTCTAGTATCTTATCTATACACTGAGGGAGTTGAACTATAAAACTTTGAGCTTGTCTTTTAAGCTGTTAAGTTTATACTCTTACTCATGAGTCCATTCATCCTTTCTTTAGGTACTCACTGGAGGAAGGCATGTGCCAGGTGCCAGGGTTAGAATGAGGAGGAAAAAGATGCTGACTGAGCCCTCACGCCTCTGTGACACTGTCCTAATCATCCCATACAAATATCATTACAACCTGGGACAAGCGCTAACCAAGGGAAACTATGCAGGTTCATGCATGCTTGTAACCAGGAAAAAATTCCAACATGTGGTCAGGAAAGCCTTCCTGGAGGAGAACTCCTTTAAGGTGAAATGTGAAAGATGGGTATGAGAAGAATGAAAGAAGGAATAACATATGTTAACACACTGAAAAACAGTGAAAGTGAAGTCGCTCAGTCATGTCCGACCCCATGGACTGTAGCCTACCAGGCTTCTCTATCCATGGGATTTTCCAGGCAAGAGTACTGGAGTGGGTTGCCATTTCCTTCTCCATTGAGGATCTGAGGAAATAAGAAGTCAGTGTGGCTGTGGCAGGGAGAAGTGTGAAAATGATCAGTATAAGATAGGTAGAAGGGGCCAGATGGCCAACGGCATGGGAAGTTCTATTAAGAACATTAATTCTCATTTGAAGGGCACTGGGAAGCCATTGAAGGCTTTAAACCTAGACATGACACAATCAGGTTCACACTGTCTGGCTTTAATGTGGAAAATGGACCTGAAGAAGGCCAAGAGAACAGACAGGAGGCCAGTTGAGAGACAGCTTATGAGCACAGGTGAGTGATGGTGGTAGCGATGCAAAGGGGTTAATTCTTTGCTGTCAGCACTAGTGAATATTAGAGGTGACTTTTAAACATTCACTCAACAATGAAGCCACACTCTCCTTCCATTTGTCCATAGCAGGGTCCCACAAACCTGGAACAGGACCCCATTTCAGGTTCTCAGAACCGTATTCCTTTCCCCCATAGCCCCTCCACAGCTGCTATCTGTCATTTGTCTAACTTTAGTTAATGTCTGAGGCTCCAGCTAGACTATATAAGTCCTCAGAAGGCAGGAGCTGTATCTGCTTTGTTCCTATTATTTTTTTCCGAGTGCCTAAGACAGTGCCTGGCACATAATTGGTGCTATGTCAAATGAGGAAAATCAGTGAATGAACAACATGAACAAAGCAGACATCTCAAAGCAGAGACCCTATGGAGATTATATCTGGATGGAGGAAAGAAGGTAAAGAAGATACCAGCAAGCACAAATACACTGGTCTCTTAAAAACAATTGACTGACACTACATTTTCCATGAGACCTGACAATAGGGGATAAGAAACGAGGAAGTGTTAGTCTCTCAGTTGTGTCTGACTCTTTGAGACTGCATGGACTATAGCCCACCAGGTTCCTCTGTCCACGGGATTCTCCAGGCAAGAATACTGGAGTGGGTTGTCATGCCCTTACCTGGGGAAGAAATGAGGGTATTGGCACATTGGTCCCAGTCAGCATCCGTAACTGGTGATCCCTGGGTCCTACACACATTATCTGCTTTCCATAGGCCCTTCCTTTATACACAATAGCCACTAAATATGTATTTGTTGTACTACAAGCAGATGGCTTTAGACAGTCACATAACTTCTATCAACCTCACTCTCCTTCACCATTACCTGGGGTTTAGCCAGCCAGCCTTCTCTGAGAAAGATCAAATTAAAAAGACTCTGAGAAGTGGAGGGTTCCATCTGTCCACAGGTAAGATACAATCGCGAGGCCCCGGGACAAAAGGAGATGAGTGGAATGTTAAGAGAATAGAGGAAGGAGGCAGAAGATGGAGGAGACGGACAAGTGCCAAAAAAGCAGCAAGACAGCCATGAGGAGAAACAGTGGCAGCAGAAAGCTAATTTTCCAGGCACATCATCTGTCTTGGCTTCTCAGTCTTGTCCGAAAGGAAGCCAGGCGGGCAACGTACTTGTGTGTCTCTAAAATGACCCTTGAAATTCATTTGTACCAGGAGCTCTATCTGGTATTTTGTGTTTTGTTTTCTGTTTCATTTTTCAGTGGCTCTTGCAAGAGACTTCAACTCCAGGCACAGCTCTATGCGGCACATCCATAAATCCTCCCCGCTTCTCTGCCAACTCCCAGACAGGCCATAATGGGAGAGGGCAGATAAACAAATAAATACGAAATAGTGAAGGGCAGTCAATTCAGCAACTCAGCCTCATCCATCAGTCCTTCCCTCCATTGCCAGAGCCAAGCAGCCTCAAGGTTGTTTTAGAAACACAGAAGCGCATCGGTACTTAATGACGGTACATACTATGGGGTGAAGCTGGCCCAGCTCCTGCTTCTCTACAGACAGGCTGAGGACACAAGGAGGATCCTCTCCTGCTCTGCAGAAGTACATCATTTCAACAGAAATAAGAAAAATACCTAGATGCTAGAGTAAATAAGAGTTTAAAGGCCTACAACAACCAGGTTACTAACGTTTCTGATGACTGGCACACACATAATGGTAACCGCGGGCTCTAGTGTCAGACAACCTAGGATCAAATTCCGGCTCTACCAGCTGCTGGCTTTGTCAGCTGAGCAGCTTCATCTTTCTGGGCTTCAGTTTTATCATCTTGCAAATGGGAATCAAAACCACCCTCTGGTGCAGGACTGGCATGGGAATTCAATGAGACAATGAAAAGTCAACTGATGAACATGCTGCTCCAAGAATGTGATAAAAGTTAACTGTTATTTTTAAATTGAGTATTACACAGCCATGGAAAAAGATAACTTTTCTCTTTTATCAGCATCAAAGGATGTCCATGACATGTGGCTAAATCAGAGACTTCCAATGGTAGGGGTGAAGTGGGGCTGGGGCACAGGACTATAACTTTTGATTGAGAACATCACAGGTACTGTAAGAAAACTGTTTACTGATGATTGAGCTAGCACAGGTGTGACTTTTGCAGAAGCAGAAAGATGGAAAACTGTGAAATTAAACAAATGAGTTATTAACATTTTAAAGTTATTTTCCATTTTAATATGGAGCCCAAGGAGCTATCTTTACAAGTATATATATATATATAAAAAAATACCTGGAAAGACATATACCAAAATTTAATAGTGGTTGTCTAGCATGATGGGATTAGAGGTATTTTCCTAACCATTTCATTTCCATTTTTTCCCTATTGTCTAGTTTTATAATTGACATGTTTGACTTTCACAGTTATATAAAACACCCCTTTCTACGTGGGAAAGTGACAAATTTTACTTTCACTGAGTCAAGAAGCATGTAAATTTCTAAAATAAAAAGCATCTTTGGATCTTTTTTGTCAGAAAGTAAGGGGAACCTAGGCAAATTTAAGAAACACATCTGAGGCCGTGACCTATGGTAAGTGGTGGTAGGTTAGGAACAAAAGTAGTTCCTTTGCCCCTTTCTATGTCCTTTTCCCCTGCGTTGACCTTGTACCTTCCATCCCCATGTCAAGGCCCCAAACTAGGGAGTGGATAGATTCTGTAACTTTCAATCCTCTTTTATCATTTATTTCTATACAGCAGGTGGGCACTATATCACCACTCTCCCCCTCTAACCTTAATATATTCATAATGACACTTTTCTGTTGCAGATTTATGATGAGGTTGTATGTCTGAGTGTGTGTGTTTGGAATTTAATCTTGACAGCAATTATGCACGGAAGATCCTACTACAGATGAAGAAACTGAAGCTCGGAGGTGGCTGAGGTCCCACAGCTGGTTTGCAGCCAAACCAGAATTCACCCCCACTTTCAGACACTCAACTCATCCTCTTGCTTTTGGTCCCCAGCCTTTTTGACACCAGGGACCAGTTTCATGGAAGACAATTTTTCCACAGACCGGGGAGAGGGGAATTGTTCTGGGATGATTCAGGCACATTACATTTATTGTGCACTTTATTTCTACTATTACATCAGCTCCACCTGAGATCATCAAGCATTAGCTCCCAGAGGCTGGGGACCCCTACTAGTCTTAACCACTCGGCCCTCTGCCCTCTCCTTCCTTGCCTGGTTTTTCCCACAGGAATAAGTGCCTTTTAGAATGGCTGGTTACTCTTTTCCCAGGCCACTAAGGAATCATAGTGGTTTTGCCTATGATTGCCTATGAACATGCATAGCTTTGTTTTAGAAAAATAGCCAGGTGTGACCTGACATCTACTTTTCTTAGATTAAAAACAGTTCAGTGCTAAAGATGAAATGACATATGTCACCCTGTGCAGAGGACCCCTGCAGGTTTTGCCTGCCAACCATCCAGCCCCTTCTGTAACAGCACCTTGGTCCAAGAACACCTTTATCACTACACGCTATTTCGCTGGGGCTGTCACTCACAGGACCGAGTGCTTCCTTTGCCAAGTGGTGAACTGGGACCCGAACTTGGCATTCAGACTTCCCCTTCTGGGGTTCAGATTCAGAGTGGGGAAGCATAAGAAAGGGATGGGGTTGGAGTAGATTCATACCAGTGATGGGGTAAGCATTATATCCTGCTACCCAGCTTCTTGAGGCTAAGCTATCCTGGGTCCCATCTTTTCTCTAGATGGTTTTTCTCTTTTGATAACAAAACAACAGTTGTTGTTATTAGGGCTTAATTTAGCCGCAGTCAGTTTCTGTTACTCGCAATCAAAGAACTGTGTTGGATACACCATTCAAATCTAGTGTGACAAAAACTAACTGAGGCTTTGTTAGAGAAGATCAGCTGAAAATAAAATGAAACTAAACTAAACTCAGTCATAGCAGTGGTGCTGGCTGCAGTCCAGACAGCAGCTGTCCTGCTCTAACACGAGGCTGGTCTGCATGCCTTCTACCGTGCTCTACACTCCCCGGTCCCACCAGATGCCCCCAGGTTTCCTTCCAAGCAGGGTCTCGGTGAAGAAAGTTCTGTAAGACCCTTCCATCTGCCTCTTTGCACTGCTGTTGGGGCCAGCCTGTGAAGGAACCAAAATTAAGCAGGTAAATGGGGAGGGAGGTGAGGATGAGGACGGAGGGTGAGAGGGCTTATGTTTCACAATTTGTCTTAAAAGAGCTGAGAGTTAGAAAAATGTGGGCGCTCTGGAGAAACGGGGTGGGGGACTCTCTGATGCCTTAGCACTGTGGCATGGAAACAGGATGAAGTTGCTGAGCTGGATCTCAGAGCATCCTCCTTGGTGCCCAGCCTTCAAATCCATCATGAGAGAGATTAAAGGATTAATCTCCTGCCCTGCTTGATCTGCTTTGCCACAGGGAACCTTGGTCTCCCTTTATCCTGGCCCAGCTCTGCTTCCAGGCCTGACCAGCTTGCAATGAACGCTGGGCAGCTGGGCTCAGACTGGGCTGGATGTGGGTGGGCACAGATGGAAAAAGGACAGTGGCTCCCCACTCCCTTTATTTAAAAAAAAAAATGCTCATTACTACTCTAGCAGGTTGACAAAGCATTACTGTCTTTGCAAAACAATGCTATTTTCAGAAACTGACTTTAGTATTAATAACTGACTATAGCAATCTCAGAACTTTTGGAGAAAAAGTTTCTGTTTGTCTGTTTTTAAATTGTCATTATCACTTGTAAACTGGGACATGTCAGGATTGGTATGGTGGGACGGAGAGAGAGAGACAATGTGCAGGGGAGTGGAGGTTGAGAATTTAGGAGACTATCTGTTGGTTTTGCCTCTTAAGCATATATTCCCCCTTCTATTAAAAAGCATCCCAGTTTCTTAATGGGAAACCAGGCCATTTCAACATAAATGGTTCCAATGGGACTGAACCTGCACTCCAGCTCCAGAGGTGGTGTCTGTCCTGGGTCTGATCCTTGGTCTACCTGACAAGGCAAGCACTGACATAAAAGCGACTGGATCCCAGAGGAAGGGATGGGACTCTGCAACTGGGCAGAGGAAGAGATACTAGCTCTCCACTGCCCAAGAGTGAAAGGAGAGAGAGAAAGGGATGAGTAACCAACTTGGAGCACTCCCAAGTGATGTATCAATCCTGATACCTTGACTAGGGACCTTTGCTTCAGAGGATTAGGCTCCCCAAGAAACATGAATCTCAAGACACTCTAAAGCTTTACTAATGAATACAGTAAATAATTCATACCCAACATTATTTCCTGTTACTCAGATCTCAATATTAAATATTCAGTAATTTCTTTTATGTCTGTATTCTCATCAGACTAAACAGACGCACTTTCAAATAAACTAGCCACTATAGAGGAAAATATCAGGACCACTATAGATATCATGGTAATTTCCAGGGACTCATTAGCAAGTTGATGACTATTAATTTTCAAATTTAATTAATAGATAGAAATGGTGCTTTCTTGTAATTTATATCATTAGTCAAATGAGCTTTCTAATTAAGATCTGCAATCTGCAAATTTACAAACTCATGAATGACTCTAAACATGGAGAATTATTGATAAGTGTCTGCCTGGTCTCAACTGGTTTCCAGATTTTGACAAAAGGGGGATAATTGGTTTCAAGCCCTGGCAGTTTCTAAACAGAACCTTCTTAAATATATTTAGGTTATTCACTGCCATACAACCACTGTAATTGCAGATCTCATTTCCATTCTCCCTTAAATCTAACCAAAAAATATGGCATATCAGATGAAGCACTAAGTTCAACCCTTATTGGCAATCATTAACCCTGTTTGTAAAATGAAAAATAAAATTAAATCTGACATATATAAAAACAAATCAGACTTCTAAAACAGATCCAAATAGAAATTTCATTGAGGAAAAAAAAGCATGCAAAGTGAGTCTGTGGATGGACCTAGCAAACATCAAGGAGACAAAGGCTGTTTACTATTAAAGGCTAATTAGCAAATCAATTGGAGAAGGCAATGGCACCCCACTCCAGTACTTTTACCTGGAAAATCCCATGGACAGAGGAGCCTGGTAGGCTGCAGTCCATGGGGTCACAAAGAGTCGGACACGACTGAGCGACTTCACTTTCACTTTTCACTTTCATGCATTGGAGAAGGACATGGCAACCCACTCCAGTGTTCTTGCCTAGAGGATCCCATGGACGGCGGAGCCTGGCGGGCTGCCATCTATGGGGTCGCACAGAGTTGGACACGACTGAAGTGACTTAGCAGCAGCAGCAAATCAATCAATAATATTTTCACAAGATCTCACTGCAATCTTGCTCCACTCTTTCCATGAAAGAAGGAGTCAAGTGCTTAGCAACAAGGAGCGTTTCACTGAATCAATCAACGGACATTTTTAAAGCATCTACTGAGAAACACAGCACTCAAGGGCAGAATAAGCATGTGCTTATCGACTAAAGCAGGGACACCTGTGTTTTTGTTTTAAAACAATTTTCTACCTAAAAATTGAGTAAAGAAAGGAAAAAAGGAGGAAGGCATTTTAATAGCTATGTGACTTTGAAAAACTGACCTAACTTCTCTGGGCCTCAGTCTCTTCATTAGTAAAATGGGAATAATATCACTGTTGTCAAGATTAAACAAGAAATGGTATGTAAAACACTCACCACTCTTCCTGGTATAACAATTTAGTTTCCCTCACCCCTTGAACAAAATGCTTCTTTATACTCCTTAAAGTTATAATCAATCACAGACCCCTTGACCTCAGGAAGGATGGCCCTGTAGAAGGCCAAGGCTACTGTTCTCACTGACCAGTATTTCAGAAACCCCAGACTTCAGGTTTGAGCAGTGTTGGCATTCTTCTGTCCGGAGAACCTTACCTCATAGTAACTCTGGACAGCGTTCATGAAGGCTTCATCAGCCACGATTTGAGTTTCCCCATTGAGGAAAGCCTGAAACCGGTCCTTGACTGTCTGCAGCTGTTGTTTGCTGATCTGTAAGAAACAGAGAAGGAGGAGATGGTGAGGCCCTTCTCTAAACAAGGGTCACAGTTACGTTATATTGAAGATGCCAGGCCCATTGGCATGCTGGAGCTGGCATGTACTGGCATGTGGAAGCTGATTGCTATATTTGCAGAAATTCTGTGAGGCAGTTGTTAAACATATCATTACTAAAAATTAACATTAATTAGAGCTAAATTATATTAAAAACAAAATTAAAAAACTCAGAATTCAATGCTTCCTGATTCTTTGATTATTATCTGTGTTTCTGAGATTACTTACATCTATTGTATTTCCATGGTGGAAATGATAGATAATGGGGGTGCTACCATACATTTCTTTCCAGTTTTGCATTCAATTTTTTTTTTTTTAATTTTGAGAGATAGATATCAGCCAAGGTGGGAGTCTGTATTCTACAGAAATTAGCAAATGCTACAAATCAGAGTTGGATTTTGTTGTTGCTATTTCTGCTTTTTTGAGATCTGTTTTCTTGTTTTTAACACACCATTGAACAAGCCCCTCGAAAAGGCTGAAATATCCTGCTTTACAAAGATATAATAATCAAAATAGCATGGTACTGGCATAAAAATGGACACATAGATTAATGGAACAAAAGTGAGAACCCAGAAATTAACCCACATATGTATGGCTAACTAATATTTGGCAAGTGAGCTAAGAATACTTAATAGAGAAAGGACAGTCTCTTCAATAAATGATGTTGGAAAACCAGATTACTTACATCTATTGTATTTCCATGGTGGAAATGATAGATAATGGGGGTGCTACCATACATTTCTTTCCAGTTTTGCATTCAATTTTTTTTTTTTTTGAGAGATAGATATCAGCCAAGGTGGGAGTCTGTATTCTACAGAAATTAGCAAATGCTACAAATCAGAGTTGGACTTTGTTGTTGCTATTTCTGCTTTTTTGAGATCTGTTTTCTTGTTTTTAACACACCATTGCACAAGCCCCTAAAAAAGGCTGAAATATCCTGCTTTACAAAGATATAATAATCAAAATAGCATGGTACTGGCATAAAAATGAACACATAGATTAATGGAACAAAAGTGAGAACCCAGAAATTAACCCACATATATATGGCTAACTAATATTTGGCAAGAGAGCTAAGAATACTTAATAGAGAAAGGACAGTCTCTTCAATAAATGATGTTGGAAAACCAGATATTCACAAGCATCAGAATGAAACTGCACTCCTATCTTCTACCACTTTTATACACACACACACACACACACACACACACACACACACACACCTCCCTGATAATTCAGTTGGTAAAGAATCTGCCTGCAATACAGGAGATCCTGGTTCAATTCCTGGGGTCGGGAAGATCTGCTGGAGGAGGGATAAGCTACCCACTCCAGTATTCTTGGGCTTCCCTTGTGGCTCAGCTGATAAAGAATCTGCCCACAATTTGGGAAACCTGGGTTCAATCCCTGGGTTGGGAAGATCCCCTGGAGAAGGGAAAGGCTACCTATTCCAGTATTCTGGCCTGGAGAGTTCCATGGACTATAGCCCATGGTGTCGCAAAGAGTCAGACATGACTGAATGACTTTCACTTTCACAAAAATTAATTCAAATATGTTAAAGACTTAAATGTAAGACCTGAAACTGTCATAACTACTAGAGGAAAATATAGGGTAGAGCTTCTTGACATTGGTCTTGGCAATGATTTTTTGGATATCACACTAAAATCAGAAAGAATAACATCAAAAATAAACAGATGAGAATACATCAAACTAAAAAGCTGCCACATAGCCAAACAAACAATCAGCAAAATGAAATATAACCTATGGAATGGGAGAAAATATTTTCAAATCATCTATCTGGTAAGAGGTTAATACCCAAAAGACATAAAGAACTCATATACTTCAACAGAAAAAAAAGAAAAGATTAAAAAAATGGGCAGAGGACTTGAATAGACATTTTTCCACAGCAGACATACAAATGGCCACTAAGTACATAAAAAGATGCTCTATTTTACTAATCATGAGAGAAATGCCAATCAAAACTGCAATCACTGCACATGTGCTAGAGTAGCTATTATCAAAAAGATAAGATATAAGTATTGGCAAAGGTGTTGAGAAAAAGGAATTCTATTAACTCTTGCTAGAACTGGTGCAGCCACTATGGTTCCTGAAAAAATTAAAAATACAACTACCATATCATCTAGCAATCCCACTTCTAGGTATACATTCCCAGGAAAGGAAGTCACTCTGTTGAAGAGATAACTCCTTCCCATGTTCATTGCAGTATTATTTATAATAACCAAAATATGGAAGCAACCTACTGCCCATCAATGTATGAACGGGTAAAGAAAATTTGATATATATACATATATATTTGTGTGTATACACATGCACATACATATACATACATAATACATATATACATTGTAATATTATCATACATACACAGATACACACATTGGAATATTACTCAGCCATAAAAAGAAAATCCTCCTTTTGCAACAACACATAGGGACCTTGAAGGCACTATGCTAAATGAAATAAGTCAGACAGACAAAGATACATACTGTATGTTCTCACATATGCAGAATCTAAAAAGCCTGAACTCATAAAAATAGAGATATAGAGACTACAATAGTGGTTACTGGGGGCTGGGGGTGGGGGAAATGGAATCAAAGAGTGAAAATTTCGAGCCATAAGATGAGTATGTTCTGGAATTCTAATATGTATAACATAGTGGCTATAATTTATATTACTCTATTAAGCATTTGAAAGTTGTAAAGAGAGTAATGTTACATGCTATCACCACAAGAGAAAAATGGTAATTATGTGAGGGGATAGAAGTGCTAACTATAGAAGTGCTAACTAACCTTCTTGTGGTAAGATTCTGCAATATATGCATGTACTGTATTGCCACACTGCACATCTTAAACCTATATATGTTATATTTCAATCATATTTCGATAAAGCTTGGGGGTAAGTATCCTGCTAAGTGCAGCATGGAAATAGACAAAACGTTTTAAACTGTACTGTTATTCCAGGGTGTGGCATAGATAATTGGAGCAGTAAGTTATATGTGATTCTCCACCTCATCAAGCCTGCATTTCTTCCCCACTTAGGAAAGCATCCCTGAAAGATTCCTATTTATTTTCTCTTCTCCATCCCTTATTATGCTGTGTTCCACTGTCCATCAGTCTCAGGAAGCCCTTCCCAAACCCTAGCCTATATTTGCCTGCTCAGTAATTCCAGGCCACATCATGTATTCTAACTACTTGTTAGTTATGATCAAATCTGTTAGATGATCTGCCTCTTCTTGCTATTTTGTTCACTGCTGTTTCCCCAGGGCCAACTTAGTACTTTAATACATGCCAGGTATTCATGTTAAATGGATGAATGAATGAAGTGTATGGAAGATAAATTATTTTTGAACATCCTTTCATCATTTCTAATTTATCTAAAAAGAAAGTCAGCTAAAAACTTTGCCCTTTTAAATGTTATTTATACAAAGGCATGGATTTCCCTGGTGGCTCAGATGGTAAAGAATCCACCTGCAATGCAGGAGATGAAGGAGATCAGGTTCGATCCCTTGAGTTGGGATGATCCACTGCAGAAGGGCATGGCAACTCACTCCAATATTCTTGCCTGGAGAATTTCATGAACAGAGGAGCCTGGTGGGCTACAATCCATGGGGTCGCAAAGAATCGGACATGACTCAGTAACTTTCACTTTTCGCACAAAGTCACACCTCCTAATTGACAATAGGATGCTGTGTCTGAGAACTGCTGCTCTGGCAGAAAGACAAAGAAGATCATTTCAGGCCCAGTTCTATCAACCACTGTGTCATCTTGCAAAAGTGACTTATGTTTTCCGAGATTGCCAAACTTACAATTCATTGCTGGAATAGGGCCATGATTAAATAAGTAAATGTTATCTCATCCTCAGTTTTCTCACTTGGAAAATAATCCTAATTACTCACTACTTTGGGATAGTTATAGCTATTCAGTGACATGATACAAGTTCTTTCCTTCTTTTTTTTTTATATTATGAGTTTCTATATACATTGAGAGTGTTTTCATCACTTGAGTCAAAGAAAGTCTTGTTAGTAGAAAATAAGGCTAAAAGCTATAGGAGACTGAAGCCTGGTGTGGGTTTTGACTCCATCAGGAAATGAATTGAAGCAGAACAGATTTTTGAGAACAGATATACATGAAAGTTGGGGTGCTTTAGCTAATTTTTTGTACTTTGGGAGAACTGGGGAATGGTGAATTTGGAGGCAGACATAGAGGGCTTTCCTGGGGGCTCAGTGGTAAAAAGCATACCTGCCAAGGCAAGAGATGCAGGTTTGACCCCTGGGTTGGAAGATCCCCTGTAGAAGGAAATGACAAACCACTCCAGTATTCTTGCCTGGGGAATCCCATGGACAGAAAAGCCTGGAGGGTTAAAGTCCATGGGCTCACAAAAGAGTCAGACACGACTTAGCAACTGAGCAGCACAAAGTAGTTAGATTTGCACCACATTCACAGCTGTTTTGTTCTAGAATGCCAGGGGCCAATGTAATTTTATATTTTCTAATAAATTTTCATTTTCTAGTCACATTTCAAAAAGTAAAAAGCAGGTAAAATGAATTTTCATATACTTCATTAGTCCCAACATGTCAAGATACTATCACATTGATTGTAACCATTGGAGAAATTATTAATAAAATAGTTTACCTTCTTTTTTTATACTGTGTCTTTGAATTCAATGTGTGTGTGTTTTAGTTGCTCAGTCATGTCCGACTCTATCTGACCCCATGGACTGTAGCCCCCCCTGGCTGCTCTGTCAATGTAATTCTCTAGGCATGAATACTGGGAGTGGGTTGCCATTTCCTTCTCCAGGGGATCTTCCCAACCCAGAGATCAAACCGGGATCTCCTGCATTGCAGGTGGACTCTTTACCAGTCTGAACCACCAGGGAAACCCGTGTACACCTAAAGTATATCCCAATTCAGAATAACCCCACTGCCA